TTTTGACAATCCCACAGCTGTGCCATGGAGTTGCTGGTTTCGTTAAGTCAAGCCCAACAGCTCCAGAACATTGATCCTCGAATACGCCATACGCCAAGCTCTCCCATCAGGCCACTTTGATGCAAGTTGTGCCCAAGTCGGCGACCACGTACATGACCTTTGACAAGCAACCTGGTCGGCAGAACAGCGAATGAAGCAGACACTGCATATCGTTGCGTCTTTGGTTTCAGGTTCTGCGACGTGTTGCTGGAAAGATCACTGCTGAGGGAAGGCGGCTCCTCCTCCCGTCTAGCATCCGTTTTGGTGAGCATCACCGTCCCAACTTGTCTGTGTTGTGGCGAACAAACCATGTAAATGCCATATGGTCTTTCACGAACATCCTCAAGTGAACGTCGTTGCATTTTCGTCGTTGTGCATGGCTAGCGTGTTTGGAGATCCATCATCCAAGCAAGAACCGGCCCTTGCAAGGAACCCGTTCATACATTGTCTGCAGTAGCGCAACAGCCTCAGACTGAATCAGAGGATCAGGGATTCTAGACCCCAGCTGACCGCCGATAGGGCGTCGCGTTGCAGTATCTGAGGTACAGACATTGGATCTCTTCAACGCATGCCGCTTGGCGCACGATGTCCCAAAACCGTAGACGGTTTAGTATGTCTTGTGTTGTTGTTTTAGGGGGGTTCAGTGTTAGGTTGAGGCTATAGAGTTGTAAGGTTGGGGGTTTAGGATCACGGGTTATTGTGTGTTATAAGTTATAAGTATTCCACAGCAGCTAACAGCGTATAGTTGCAGCACCTAACGTACAGCACCCTACAAGTATCTACAAGTACTGACTCTGCAGTGTGCTTAGAAGCGCCTCTCGCAAGTGGAGTGTACCATCAAGCCGTGCTCATACAAGACCCGCCCCTCCCTGAAACCTAAACCCTAAACCCTGATATGTGACTGAGCTCGATGCCTTCACTGAAAGATGACAACAACGGCATGAATTTGGATGCCAGAGCCGGGAAAACGGAGGAGGCCCCTGGTGCAAAGCTATCTGCCTGTGAGTTGATGCTCGAGACGATATCTGTGTTGTGAAGTGGCTTGCACCTGCACATGCAATGGCCACAAACCAGAGTGGGCTGTACCACGAACGCAGAAACCTGGGCATGCAGCATGAAGAAGAGCGAGGATTTTCCTGCCTGTCGAGCTGGTATGTGAGTGTGAGAATTCTTGAATGGAGTTGCATGTGGGAGGAGATTTTGTTCGTTGCATTAGTCACATGTGCAAACGGTTGCGAGTGGAGTGATGTGAGATCTGAAAGCCGAAAGCTGGCTAGCTGCCTATGGGCAGTGAACCGTCTGCCCACGTCCCTGAGGGATGTTGCTGTGTTAATGTGCCGCCATATGTGCGTCGTCGTACCTGAACTCCTCGCCTAGGCCCAGTCCGAGTGTGAGTGCTGAAACCCTGATATGAGCCAGAGTGGCCCCTCACAGCCAAGTTTCACGAAGCCCTTCGTCCCGAAACTTAAATCGCCTGGTACAGCCTGAACCCCCATGTCCACCAAAGGCCGCATACTTCGGGCTTGAAGGGGTTCCTATATTGCGTTTCTCTAGGGTCAAAGTCCTGTCTGTATGGATAGATGGGCCCTGCGAAAATGGTAACAGTAGGGTAACTATACCTATTACTTGTATGAGGGGACTTATAAACCACTTATGACTACGTAACCAGGAACCTCCCTTAAAGGAGCCCTAAAGGACTCCACAATTTAAGAAGGCCGTGGACAACGTAACCGCTCGATTCCTGGCCGGTGCCGCAGCTGGGGCGACGGCCACGAGTCTCACCTACCCGCCTCTTGGCTTAGGGTTAGCCAAACCCTAAACCCTAACCGAAAACCCCCAAAGGCCGTATAAACACTAGGAACAATAAGCCAAACCGAAAACCTATAAAGGTCCTATAAACCCTCTAGGGTTTAGTGTGCTAGGAGGGCTGTCGGCGAATCCCCCGAGCCCTGAAGCCTTGCGGTGTTCGTGAAGTTCAGCGGTTTCGGGTCCGTAATTTGTAATTAAGAGGTTGTGTGCTTGTCTGTTTGTCCTCCTGTCCGCCGAATTCGGTTTCATTGTTGCCAAGTTGGAAAGCTCAAACGCTAAAGGCCTTGAACCTTAGGAGCCCTGAATGCAGCCATGCGAGAGTGATCACGAGGGTTCCACAGATATTGAAGCCTTGTCTCCACGACCCGTTGAAGGTTAGATATGATGCGGGCGCGAATGGCGGCGCACTGGGACATGAGACTGGGATGTGCAAATGCTGTGGGTTGTCTAGCTCCGGGTGCTGCAGCTGAATCTCTCGTTATCTTTAATGTTGCCGTTGGCCTACTGAGCGAAGGCGCAGCGCTTCGAGTCCTTCCTTGATGATGATGGAGCTGGTGTAAAGGGTTTGTGTGCTTGTTCTCCCGACAGTGCGCACAGGTGCTTCTGACTCAGCATGCTTTGTTACATGCGTCCGCGTGCCGCAGCCATTCGACATACTTGGAGTCGGTCTTCATCTTGAACAAAGCAAGCCCAAGCCATCGACCTAATGCCTAAACCTTGTTGTGTTCGGAATGGGTTCTGGACTGAAGAAGCTTCAGTTTAAGCGGTTCCACATCTCTCCCCTCGAGAGTCTACGTGTGTTTTGATTCCTTCAAACCCCTGGTCCCTAAACCCTATAAACTCTACAAGCCCCAAACTCCTAAACCCTGAAGCCTAAACTCTATAAGCCCCAAAATCCAAAACCCCCAAGCCTCGATAGGTCTCTGTGTGTGACTTCACTGCAGTTGAACCTGTAACCCTGCCTCGCGATTCGCTCAGCAGTGCAGCAGGCAAACAGAGCCCGAACCCTGTCGAACCAAAGCCCTGAACCCTAAATCCTAAACCCTAAACCCCTACAAACCGTAAACCCTAAACCCGTATAAATTACCCTAAATCCTAAACCCTAAGTCCTAAACCCTTATAAACCCTAAACCCTAATTCCAAAGTTTTCGGAGCGTCTCTAGAACTTGAGACTGTGTGCCTCCAGGGTTCAGGGGCTCAAGGTTTGAGAAGTTTGAGGGGTAAATCCTCTAAAAGGGCGATTGCGCTTTGGGGTTTGGGGTTTTTGGGGTTTAGCGCTTAGGGTTGTGGTGCAAGAAGGGGTTGAAGAGCCCAGCTGCTACAGAAGGGTTTAGGGCTTGCAGGGCTGAGGCACATGAGGTTTGATCTCGATTGTGGAGGCCGCCATGATTAGACATAGTATCCTTTCAGGCTGCCCATATGTCCACCGAAGTATACGCTAGCCACAACCCTATCTAACTATAAAGGCCGCGAGACTAGGTTCGGGTCCAGGTATAGGTTTAGTTTTGTTATAAGTATGACTCCCCCCAACCGTACTCCAATTCTTGCGGTGCCTTTCCCTATAAGCCGTAAACCCTAAATCTCCAAGCCCCTTAACAATAAAAAGCTAAACTTTCAAACCCCTCAACCTCTCCCGAGCCGAGGCACCCGAAGTATCCGAACTATTTTTCTGCTTTCGAGCACATCCTTCGGGAGCGCAGGGGGGTTTTGGGGGGTTTTAGGGTTTAGGGTTGCTTTGAAGATCGAAAGCACGAAGGGTCCATGCTTTCGAGCCAAGGCGTAGACTGTATGGGTATATGAACCCGGTCGGCAAACCCTAGTTTGTTGGAATAGTTTGGGTTCCCGAGCTTCTCACCTGCAGAGTGAAACTTCGGCCGGAAAGCCGGAACAAGATGGTACTTAGTTGAGCTATCATGTTTAATCCTTACTTGTACACGTGGCTGGAGCGAAAGCCGATTGTCCGGCGACCAGAACCAGCTACCATAGCAGCAATTCTTGTTATTGAAGTTGTCCCATCAGTATAGAAGACACTGACTCGATCCATAATGTGTGCTTGCATGTGGGTTCATACATGTCGCACGTTTTTTTGTCTTGAGTCTGCGTGGTTCTGCAGCGCCACACTTTCTCGCTCGCTTACGTTGACACATTTGATATGGAACATGTTTGTTTTATGTCACATTGTGATGTATTACGTACTTTACATCGTCCCCCACGGGATTTAAGATTTACACGCCTTAGCCTTAAAGCCCCCAAACCCCAATACCTCCTGAACCCAAAAGTCTCCCCAAAGCCCCCAAAACCGCACAATGCCACAGTGGAAGGCTCGAATCAGTAAAGCAATACGACCTTAAACCCCCTAAAGCCAAGAGTTCCTAACCTCAGAAACAGTGAAGCAGTAAAAACCCGAAACGCGCAGACCCATGGGCCTGAACGAGGAGGAAGGGCTGACATCGCTCTACCGGGGCATCCGGCCGACCTTGGTGGGAATCGTTCCCTATGTCCGGGCCCCCGATCACTTGGGTCAGGGCAGATGGGTGTTTTGGATCCTGGGGCCGGAGGGTCTTCAGTGCTAGGAGGTCAGAAGGCCTTTCAGGCAAAAAAGGACACCCGGGAGGGGTTTTGAAGGGGCTCTATATATGGACAACTGTTTGGACAAATGTCGTCGTGAACCTCGATCGAGAGCTAGGGCATGCAAGACATCAGCAAACCTTTGCATCTTGCAGTCATGGTGAACTTATGAGATGTTTCTGTTGTGCATTTAAGCGTCTCGTGCGGAGTGCTCAGGCAGGTACCGGTTGATTTGAGATTTACGATATGGATGTCGTTTGGAGAGTGAGGCTGGAGCCCAGACTGGTTCTTCAGTGCTGGATTGTAGACGTTCTAGCTCTGCTACGAGCTGTATACATTCGGACATGTAGTGCATAAGTGATTGAAGCCAAGCGTTCCAAGCGCCGTCCCTATCTGACATGGTCGGTTTGGAGCTAAGACTTCTGGCCCAAGGATGACGTTGATGACGTGGTTCCTACCAAATTCGATCGCACAGTGCACATTAAAACCTTTAATCACTTGCTTCTGTAGGGCGCTGTACATAATATCCAGTTGGGATCAGGGGTTTGGCGCTGGAGTGCCGGTTCAGGCTGATCGCAAAGGCCATGGCATTCAGCACAGTTGCGTCGGTTGCAGGCCCTCCTATCAGATTCGTGTTGGGTCCTTGGCCTGCTGCTAGAAGCAAAGAACCAAACCGGTTCTCAGGGCTTCAGCATCCTCTTTTGGGTTCGTGGTTGGCAACTGCTGCTGCCGTGGCCATCCGGAGCCACTCGCGGCCACAGCATGTACCACCTTCAAGGCGTGAACGCATGCTTTCGCGCCCCGAAACGACATACAGTCGGAAGACGGGTAGGGGTAAGCGGTCGAGCGGCTTCTTCTTGGCATCTCCCACACACCCCAAGAACAGTACCCCAGTCCGACGGTCTCCGCATGCTTCCGGACTGCGCGATAGGCTGAAGCAGTGCCACGCATCACAGCAGCTTCTGGATTTGCTGCATGATGCCTGCATGGCTGGCAGTGCAGATATAAGCGTATTCAGTGCAGCTGTGCAGCGATGCGGCCAGAGGCACTGGTGGGGCCCTTTGCAACGCGTCCTGGACTTGCAGCAAAAGCAGACTAGAGAGATAAAGCCTGATATCGTGCACGTCTCCTCTGTGCTGCATTCCCTGGCGACATGCCTCCGTCAGAAAGGAAGATTTGCCGTGGTCCCGGCTCGTGCTCAAAAGGCGCTCGAGGTCGGACGAAAAGCTTTCGACGAGGGAAAGAATGTGGTGACGACGGATCATGACTTTAATATTTTGTTGTCAAGCACATTCAAGCTTTGCTATCAGATTGCGGATGCGAGCTCCAGGGAGTGGGCACTGGAGGCTTGGGAATGGTCCTCGAAGCAGGCATTCGCAAAGGACAGGCTGACCTGGCAAGCATATCTTTCACTTTCTGAACACTACGGTGACGTTCGCTTGGTCGATAAGCTATTGACGCAAGGTCAGTCAGAGGGGGCTTCCTGGGTCAGAGATCCTGTCGCTCTTGGAAGCTTGCTTAATGCAGCAGCAAATCGCAGCGATGCCGCGCGTGCACGTGAAATTTGGGATACCTTCCGCTTGACTGGTCTACGGCCGAATATGATCTGCTACGCGGCCTACTCAAAGGCTCACATGCTTGCAGGAATCCCCAGCAAGGCTGTTGATATACTCGAGGAGATGGAGAGGGAAAATGTCGCGGACATGAACTCCAAGCTCGTCGTCGACTGTGGTCAGTGTTTGCTGATCATGTATCACTCCTCACCGTCTGAATTAAAGCAACAGCGGTTGTTGAAGTTTCTTGCACGTGGGGACAAGATCATAGAAGCAGATGAGCGAGGAAACGCCAAGAATGAGTGGAGAAAGATAAAGAAGACTGCAAACCATCTTTTGGCCGATGCAACTGCACTGAAGTTGCAGGACGTGCTGTGTGAGTGGAAGGCGCGGACCGCTAGCCTGATGAAAGACTGGGAGAATTTCGATGCTGGTACAGAATACTTGAAGAAGACGATGCGAGATCGCTGAAGCCTAGAAACCTCCATGCCGCACTCCGCCTGAGTCTCGGGTCGACAGCCTGATCAGGGCGGGTATTCATGAGGCATCCCAGCATACTTTGTCCAGCGCATCCTCTGCTGATCAAGCACTTGTTGATCTACCGGGTTTCGTGCTTCGGTGAAAAAGTTCGCTCGAGAGTTTCGAGGGCAGTGCGATGCTAGGCTGCTGATTCTCGGATTAAGAGCTTCAGGGATCAGTCTTCAACCACATGTCCACACAGACTTGTGCAAGAGAGCCACTTCCAGCTTCACGAAGCGAAACCGGTCCTCATGCACGGTCTGAAAGGTATGCAGCGGGTCCCACGTTCGTCCCCGCAGAAGTCAGTCGCTAGGAGCAATACATTCCAAGACCTTGACACATACTCCAAGTCCGAATCCCAGAACTTGAAGCTCCATGGAAGTTCGGGGTTTTGAAACGCGGCTTTTAGTCACGCCAAGCGGCCCTTTGTGCTTGCCCTGATCCAAGGAAAGCAGAGATGTGGCCCAGTTGAAACCAAACTCTGAAGCCCTACACCTCAAAGACGAACAGTAAAGAAGTCTAAGCCGTATACCCAGAGAGCCCAATACCCCTTAACTAAGGAATATATACTTTAAATCACAAAATTAAGGCCCCTATAATTTAAGGTATATTGTTCCTTAATAAAGGGGTCTTGGGCTCTCTGGATAAGCCCAATGCAAGAGTTCAAATTCGCGAGGCGGGTCTCAGCTTCATGGCCTACGAGACCCTGAAGGCGCCCTCTTAAGCAGCAAGGGAGTTCCCAGAGCGCCCAATACCCCTTAAATAAGGAACATACCTCAAATTATAGGGGGCCGTAATAATATTATGATTTAAGGTATATTCCTTAGTTAAGGGGTATTGGGCTCTCTGGGTTCCAAAGGGTCAGGGATTTTGGACGGAGCTGTCCGTTTCAGCGCACGTTCTCTGTGGGGTCTTTTATACTGTAGGGAGTCACTCTGTAGGTGTCGGGTGTTCGGGATGCAAGCTTCCATCTACGAGCTTGGCCATGCGTCGTTTTCCTTTGCAGATGCAAGGCCGACACACCCTGAGGCAAGTGTCAGTCGAAATGTAAGCCTGGTTCTGCAACGGTTATACAACGGGCCAGCACGATTCTTCAAACTAAGCTTCCTGTCTTCCTGTCTGGAAGCTTAGCATGCCAAACATCATGTATTTTGTGGCCTGAACAAACACTGCTTACCTCGGGTTTCGGAATGTTTTCATGAATGAAACACCCCCCAACTGCAGTCACTTAGTTAGTGGGGCTTATTTGGGCTTAGATGGGGTTAGGGAGGTGAGTCTGCATTTCGTGTGTGGGTGTGAGAAATGAACGGATGTCTGTCTGGGGTTCTAAATCACATGGACACTCAAAGGCCCGAAGCTTTTACGCCCCAGGCTCTTATCACCTAGACCCCCTAAGTCTGCAGCACTTTGCAAGACTACAAGCCGAGGCACAGGTTGCCAATGAAGGAGAGGTGGAACTTCGGCCCCACGTGCGGCTGTCACTTGCCCTGGATTCAGAAGCAGCTGGAGGTAGTAGGATTGGTAAGCTGGGTTCTGCAGGTGGGTGGGTGGTTCGAAGCCTTGAAAGGATACCAAGTAGATTTGCTAAGAGAAACAGGCGTCCAAGTGGAGTCAAGCAACACCGCGCGGCCTGTGCTGTACTTCAATAACGAATTCGGTGTTGACGAGTTGCAGTTTCCACGTCGGCGCCCTGGGACCTCAGAACCTCGACAGGGCTCGGGTCAGAAAAGTTCGCGCTATTTGGCAGCGACCTACTGGTGCCGAGGCTATGCGGAGCCTGTGCAGGCCAGAGTGTCTTGGGGTATTGCGCCTAGACCTTCCATGCATAGCATGTGCAGGGAGGGTCCTGGTAGAGACGCCAACAAGATGATAAGCACATTATGCAGGGATTGCGTGTTGATGGATGAGTTTCCGAGTCGTTGAGGCTGCCATGCAGGGGTCATGAGGACACAGGATCCTGTATCTATGACCCTCTTGTTTCCTCACTGCAATGATGCAAGACATATGAGCTGTATCTGAGTTTTTCCTATGCACTCTAAGCACAAAGCCACGAAGCTCGAGGGTCGTGGGGACAGGTCCAGCTAGCTAGCTAGCTAGCTAGCTATCTATCTATGTGTGTGTACACATATGGAATGCTTGCTTGCTACACACAGTCTACTGTCTACTTATTCGCAGCTTAGCAGCGCCAGTCACGAGCCCTCAACGCCTCGGCCTCAGCCGTCAGCTGGGCCGTAAGCAGCCGAGAGCCTTAGCTTGCCGGTCATCTTCCCCTTAAGGGTCCAAAGGACCCATAATTAGGTACTTTGGTTGCGGATCGTTATTATCTAGGTTAAGTTATATATATATATATGTACATGTATATAATCATATATAATCATATATATATATATGGGAGAGTATATGATTATTAGGTACGCTTAGGGTTCACCGCGAGGCATTTTCGCGCAATCTACGACGTACCCACTGGACATTGTGCGACGAAGGATGCAGGTGCACCCGGAGTTGTACAAGAGCCTCGGCCGAAGAGTCCATTGTGCTCATGGCGGCAAGGCCGGAATACAGGTCGTGCCCTGCCCTTCCCCAGCAAAATCCCAGGAACTCCCAAAAGGTCGACCGCCGGATCGAAACAATTTGCTTGATCCCATGGAAACTTTCGGGAATCTGGTTCCTGAAGGGTGCAGGGGGGTCCAAAGGGCAAAGCAGAACTACAATGTTTGAACTCCCCTACTCCTGGAGCGAGTACAGACTTCCAAAATCGCAGGGTCCATTACGAGGGAAAGCGGGGGGAGGGCCGTATGCAGCGATGGAGCTGCAGCGCTTGGCCCTTCTGGGTTCATTGGGCGCAGCGTACTTGAATGGCACGATGGTTGGATGGGACTGCGACTCATCAATCTTTGATGAAATTTGGGAGACTGCCTCGAGGGTATTGGATCATACGTTGAAGGCATCTGACAATGTTAACCATTTGAGATGGACCTCACTTGCCAACCAGGATCGCTGTCCAATTGCTGTTGCTGTAAGCAGGATTGTGCATTGCATACTGACGTTTCAGAGGGACTGGCACGGTGACATTCCCAAGCTGCTAGCGAGACCTATCCATATGCTTCATATACCTTTCTCCTGGGAGCTTCAATTGCTTTTGCAGCCTAAGCTCCTGCTGCCAGAGACGCCCACGTCACGGAAATGGCACCTGCTCTTCCTGGAGGGGCTCGGGCAGCTGTCGGACATGCTTTGCCTTGGCGACGTCAAGCCAAACTACACGCAGTACTGCCAAGAGAATCCTTGGACTGAAGGTTGCGACCGCCACCTACCAAGTTGCAACGGCCAGGCAAAATGGCCAGCAAGTCCAGAGCAGCTGTACCAATGCGGGCTCCTAAGGGGAGCTCGGGGGTGGCAGTGCATCCACCGCAGGCTACCCACTGCTAACAGCCTGCTAGAGCTCCTGGTCCCTTCACAGTCTTCTTGGTGGTATGCCTTGAAGCATGCTTTGGCGAGGCATACATGGCGCGGCACAAGAGGGCAGAAGACCAAGCCTTTGGCTTCATGCAGCAAGGCACTCCCAAGGCAGTACTTGCCAGCGGCTCTGTGTCCTGCTGGCTCGAACCTGGCCCCACTGGACGGCTACGTGGCGCAGACCGAGGTAATTCCGGGAAGACTTGAAGCTGTCATCTTTGCCGCGACGGTTCAGGAGTTGAAGGGCTGTGGTGTGGAGGTTGAGCTGCATCTACAAGTCACAGAGCTTCAGGCTCCTGTCCGACTGGCTCCCTGCGAGGTGATCGCTTGCAGAGAGCAGTGTGCAACCTGGGAGGCTTCACACTATCTAAGATTCTGGGCTCTTGTTAAGGGATTTAGTTTAAGTTACCATAATAGGGGTCTATAAGAAATAATATGGTTTCCTGATTATGGTAACTTAAATGAAATCCCCTAACAAGAACCCAGGATTTGCTTGCCACGTGTCCTTGAACGACACTGATGTTGAGTACAAGGCACTGGGAGCCACCGGCTCAGGCCACATCACAGAGCCCACGCTGCACACTGTCATCAGATGTCGATTTCCATATGCTGTGCCTCCAGAATGGCTCGGTGGGTCATGGAATCGGACTAGTTGGAACCTCGAGCTCCATGAGCTGGATGGGGTCTTTCACACCCCGATACCACTGCAGATGTGCCCCTACCCACGGCCTGAACCTGGGGCAAGAAACATTGCCCTGTGCCTTCGGCCAACCATTGACGCGGGCAAAATCAAGCAGTTGACGGCTGACTGGTTGGCTTACCATCGAATGATGGGGGCTGACCATGTATTCATCCCTGACATGGACGGTTCAGTGGAATCCCTCTTGATGGAGGACATGCCCGCAGGAGGTCTACTACGTCAGGGACGATTAACGTATGTCAAGGATGTTCACAAGAGGTTCGGCAGGCGAGTTGCTGGGCTGAATGGTATTATATGGAGCTCCTTCTCAGCTCCAGTTTGCGTGGAGTCGCTGGCAGCGAATCACTGTTTAGCCTTGGCTCGCAGTGCTGGCTTCGAGTGGTTCGTTTTCCTGCGGGGCCTCGACAAATTCCTCCACTCCGACCTGGATATGCAGCCAGGAATGCTTCGCCGCTTCCTCAACCGGGCGCCACCTGCTTTCCAGATCCTAAGGCGTCACTGTGGAGGAAGAGACCGAGAGGCATTGCAGCAGGGAGCCGACGTAAATGTGTCTTCGGTGCCTCCTGTTTTCAGCCAGTTCCGGCTATGTGAACCCCTCCAGCTGTCTGTGGAGGATCCGATGAGAGATGTGAGCTGGGTGCCTGCTATGCGCACATCTGCAACTGACTTGATTCTTCCAAACATGCCGGTTATCTTCAACAGGTCATACGTGGGTAGCGTCCCAGGAATCCCTGTACACATCTTGCGCGCACAGCACTACGTCCGTGCTTTCGAGGAAAGCGGCGAGCGTGAAGAGCGAAAACACTCCAAAGAGTTGGATGAGGACAGCAGATTCACAGAGCTAGAGCACGGCATGGAATGGGCAGTGGCAGAAGTGCGTGGTGAAAACAACATGTGTTGTCACTTTTCGTTGCTGACCAACGCCGGAGCCCAACCCCCCCCCCCCCCCCCCAGAGCTGCTAACAACGAGGGGGAGATCGAGCTCCTACACCCTCACGTTCCCAAACTGCTCCTGGGTTCTTTTGGGGCTTTAAGGAGCTTCCAGGGTTTGGAGTGCTTTTAGGGCATCTTGTCAGGTGTTGTTGTTTGGTTTATATTTTGGGGTGAGGGGTAGGGGATGGGCGAGGGGGGAGTTGTGTAGTTTATAAGAGAATTACTCCATCAGTAGATTTACAGGGGTTGGCTGTAGATCACCCTTCGTTGCCGAGGTCCTACGGAAAAGCCAGGAGGTACATTATATATTCTTCAGTCCACCACGGCCCATAGCCGGGCGTCGCCCGAACCTAAAGCATGAACCCTGCAAGTGCTACGCGGCCCCTCATCCCGAAGGTCGGAGGGTGACGAACAGCCACGCTATTAAATACACGCAGCCCTAAGACCCTATAAGCCCAGAATGTCAGGCCCGGAAGCAGGCGCCTATAACAAAGACCGAACCAGGCGCTGAGCCCCAACGCCCCAGCACCTAACATCCGCAAGTCTCGTGTCCTTGCTCAAAGCCCTACTGGTCCAAGTCCAAATACCTGATAACCAGATGGACCGCAGAATGCTAACCTTCCAAACTGCGATGCTAAACACTGTGCCATTGGGTCCTTGGGCAGGTGTGGAGTTTAAGGTCAAAGAGAGCCCGGGTTCCTCCACACAGCAAAGGCGGACAGCCGAGGTCGCTTCTTTGGCTAGACTCGCTAGAAGCAAACGATTTAAACCATCGGATGACACCAAACAACAGCCCGAAACCTTTCTAGACTCTTTGACAACTATACAGGCCTGAAGACCCTGAAGCTTTAATTACCCTCTAACCTTGTACTGCCCAAATCATTTCGAACCAAACTGGCTTCCTCCCTGAATTTGAAATGTGCCCCCGAACCCTATAAACCCGATAATGGGCACCTCAGGGGTCGTAGCTAAGTCCCGGAGCTCTTCGCAAGGAATGAGATCCACGCATTTAGTGCCTCGGCCGATCGAGGAGTTTGGACCATTGGAAGAATGGTTTACCGAGTTTGGGGCTGTAGGATTGAATCTTATACAAGGCTTTACAGGTTTCATTATTTAAGAGTACAGGGCTATCTCACCGAATGTTTTCGAGTCGGGACTTTGGGAGCTTGGGAGTGCCATCAGATATTGGATTGCCCGAGTCCAAGAAGATCTTTTCCCAAGCCCCCAAAAGCTGTCAGTTGGCGTGCTGCTTGGCCTTCTATAATTAGTGTGATTGCAGGACTGGTTACCCCAAAATCTAGTCTACATAATTCTATCATGGTTGCTGGCCCAAATTCCTGAATATAGGTGCCAGACCTCAATCAAATACTATTAAGAGCCTTCCGGCGACCATCCAGCAGACACCTGGGTTGTCGTTCGCCATGGTGCAGGATGTAGAGTCGTCGAGTCTCAAGTGCAATTTACCAGAAGGAAATAGGTTCTTGACCCAAAGATCTCAAAGCCTGAGCCACTCGCTTGTGGACCTGAAGAGGTTGTGGGGCTTCGCGGAGCGGTCCGGCACGGGAGAGTAGCCGGCAACATAGCTGTCTTTTGTGAAAACTGAAGAGTCGGCATCATAACCCCCAAGAATCCTGCATGAGCTTTCGAGACCCTGAAAGCAAAGTCCTGGCAATGCAGCAGGCAATCAAAATCTTGTTCGCACGGTTGCCGCAGACCCAGGTCAGATCTACCACACGGAGGGCCTCGTGCGAGGGCTTTTCAAGGGCGTGTCGATGAATTGGATCAAAGGTCCAGTTGCTCCTTGGCCGATGGTTCAGCGCTCAGGGTCCATGCAGCAGTTTACGGTGAAGGCTTGAGAGCTTGCAGGTCTTAGGGTTCAGGGCGTGCCCCAACCTCGACATGGATCCCAAACGCTTCTTGTGCTGTTGAAATTCAGACATTCACACATCCGGGGTTCATGTGTGTTGATCCTGTCTTCGCACCTTGCTTGGAGCCTGCAGCCGACTCTCTCAGCTTGATGATTTCAATTCTTCTGGAAGCCCCAGGTGAATTCAAATTTTGTGGGGCACACAGACCGAAGGTACTGGTGTAACAAGGGATGGAAATCTGTAGATATCTCTCTATTTGGAATCCTGTATCTTTGGCTTGCAGACTTTTTCCCTAAGGGTCCATGTACCCAAATAGTATGTACTTTGGCCCATACTGTTTGGGTACATGGACCCTTAGGGTTTCCTTGAACCTGAACCCGGGAGGCAGTCGGCGTGTCATTTACTGCCGCTCAGCTGCCACGAACGCTTTGTTTGTATGGCGTTCGGGGTGCGCGGCCGTTTTGGGGTGAATCTAGAGATCCACGGCAACACTTTCGCCCGTTTGGGTGTTAAGGGATGTTAAGGGGTACGAGCCACAAGAGGTTGCCAAGACACACACCAGCACTCACCCCCTGAACCCGAAATGTAAGATGCGGGTTTCTGAGCCCCAGACATCGCACAACCGCATGAACTTTTCGAGGCCATGCATATGATAGAACTCAGAGCCTGTACCCCCGGAAGAACCGAAAGGCCCCAGCCGTATAATCTGCTCCCCTCAACTCTGGCCCCTGCTCCAAGCACGGATGTGAGACGATATGCAGACTTACAGGTAGATAGCCGACTTACATGTAGATAGCCAGAACTGATTAAGGGGTGTAATTTCATTGTAATTCATGGTATCACCGGCCCAGCTGCTATATCCCCTCCGAACCTTTACAGGAACCCCGCATCATCTCCGCCGCATCATCTCCGACCCTTGAGCCCTTGAGTCGGAAGCCGCCCATGCCCGGAGCCCACCCCAAAAAAAAAACCGACCGAAGCGATCTTTGGCGTTCTGGACCTGCGGGGATGTGGGCGTTTTTGGGGCCGGCCGAGTGCATTTTTTGATGGGAGGGCTGGAGATTTGAGGTTGGGGGCTGTCAGCTTTGTCCTGCAGGCTATTTTAGGTACAGAAATCTGGGAAAAGCACCGAATCAAATCAAAAAACTCGGGACCTCGACCCTAAACCCGGAAGCCCGAAGGTGCCAAATCCGTAAGACCCCTGTGCCCTCAAACCAAGGCCTCGTGGAGATTATCCCATGTTCTTCTTGGTTCTTGCGAGAGAAGACATGAGCAAAGAAGAGGGAACGAAGCGTTGAACTCCGGAGCGGCTATCGCAACTACATGGAAATGGGTGTGTTAGGGTTAGGGCCTTGTTTTGATTGATTGGTTTACAGGAGGGCCGGGAGTAGGGCTTTCCTGTTACACAGCATTTGAGGCCCTATATAGCCTCAAAATTATAAGCCCTATAAGCCCTCCCCTAAACGCTATAAACTCTGAATACTTCGAAGTCCTTTTCAAGTTGATAGCTTGGGCATGGAACGGGCGCAGGTCAATGACCTGCTTAAGTCCAAGCTGGGCCATCATTGAGCCGGCAGCAAATTTTCCTAGGGAATTCTTCAGCTTTCAAGCAGAAGCCTCCATGAAAGCCCCGTAATATAGGTACTTTGGGGCCAAAGTACATGGACCCTTAGGGAAATCGTGTAACCTCAACTTTAAGAGCCATGCAAGAGACAATGCTGATATCTCGATTGTTTCCCCGACCCCTAGTTTTCAGAAACCCCTCCATCCTTCCCTGCCACGCCAAGGGTTACGGGTTTCCGAGGAATTCCGAGGACTTAGGACCCAAGAAGACCCTTAGACTACATCCTCCGGGTCTCAAATATGCAATGCGGAACCCAGCAACCGAACCCAATGCACTTCTTCTGCGGCTCCTGAGGGTTGCAGTCAGGGTGCAGGCTTATATAGGGTTTAGACTGAATAGTCACTCCCTATACCTATCCCTAGCTTCTCCACGTCGTTTCTCTGCGATCTAGGTTTCGGAATGCACGGATTGAGATTTTTACCGTGTGGCTTGCTTCAGAAGCGTAAAATTCGTCGGTCGATGCCGCAAATGTCCAAACTACCCATAGGCGTCTGTCAGATCCGATTAAGTTGGTCATGAAACTGTAGTACAGACTCATAGGAATCCGGACTACATCACGTGTGGAAGTAGCAGAAAATGTCCAAACTTTAATTAGACAAAACTCTTGTCAAGCCTTGTGGAGCCTCAGAGCCCTCACATGCTAGGGCTCTAACTTGTTTTCCCATTGATTTCCGTGCATCGGAGCGTTTCACCCGTCACATTCGCCCGTGAAAAAGGCGATAGGCTAGGCTCTGTCATCTCCTACATCATATATCCTCGACCTGTACTTCTAGTTTTGAGGCTCGCGTTCTTCTTGAGACTGTCCTACCGATGCACTAGTGGATCCCGGCTCCTTCCTCCAGATGAAGAGGGATACGGTTGGGCTTAGTCCATGGTGTAAGAAGCTCAGCTTGGAGGTTCTGACAAGCAGTATATCTCAGTGGCAACAGACTCCACTCCACAACACCCCCGTCCATAAGTTCGCAAAAGTTACCCAAAACCCTAACATCCTGATCGCAAACTCCTGAAACTCTTCTACCATGCACTCCCGACATATGTGTCTCCAACCCGGATACCAAATTGCAAGCGCCTAAGCCTGTAAGCTCCGGGCCCGAAGCTTTGTCGAAAATGGCTTAGGCACGCCCAGACGAGGTCAAAGAGGCCGGTGCTTTGCACGCAGAGGGTCTGAGTAGAAGGGTTCGAGGATGATTGTGCAGATGATTCTAGTAGATTAGTAGACGATGTTGTAGCGTCTTCCTTCTGCTTCTGGGTTGAGTGCTGGCGTAATCTACAGTGTATTATCTGGCGCTCCCTCTCCACAATTCCCGGAAGGATCCATGTACCCCCTAAACCGCACATCCCTAGACCCTAAACCCCCTATACAGTGTCTACCTTCCATTATGCTAGAACTGCTTGGCTTCCTGTAATTGAGCTTCCATGTCCAGGAGCCCTGGGTTCAGGCTTGAGTTTGGTGGTTTCATGGTTGGGGTTTAGGGCTTAGGGTTTAGAGTTTAGGGTTTAAGGTTTATTCTTTGGGTTTAGGGTTTAGGGTTTATTCTTTGGGTTTAAAGTTTAGGGTTGGCTCAACTTAGGATGCCCCTTTGGACGCATGGGCCTCTGTGTGTCGACTGGAGGACCACGCTGTTTGGTGCTGTCGTGTGTGCCCGAGCGGGAGGAAGGAGATAGCAGATAGCATTGGTTTGACCCTTTCCAGGGATTGGGCCTTAGAAGCCCCAAAGCCCTGAGGCAAGTGAAGTAAAGGCTTTGGTGTTAAAGAGTGAGAGAGAGTCATATCTGCAGGGGCTGCGGTTCAGGCTTAAATTCGGAGCTAAGGGCGGTGGGGAGTTTTTATACCTGCCTCGTTGGCTTCCAGGAGATGGGCACGGATCCACAGAAGGCTTCTCATCATGTGTGTGACTATACGTGATGAAACTCCGCATCGTACTGCCCCCTGACGACTGAGCCTCCCACCTTCGGGCAGCAGCTCAGTTGGTCTACATCCTATACCCCACACCATCTCATCTCACAGCTCAAAGCTCTTTAAACCGAAAATCTCAAAGCTCGATCATCCCAATGCTCACAAGATCCCGCACAACGGACACCCGAAGTCAGACACTGCTCGGCGTCGGTTTCGCTCAGACCCCACCCTGAACCGCCAACATCAGTTTGGAAAGCAGGACATAGGGGTAGTTCTCTAATTGTCGCTTTTAGGTCCTTTTTATAAGGGTATCGGGGACCTAAAAACGGGACCCTAATTTAGAGAACTACCCATATATAGGGCATGAGCAATGCGCAGTTTCATAATCATCCTTGGGAATTAGGGTTCTCTCATGCATGTGCAGCTCCAAGCGGCTAGTGCAAGTATTCAGGCCTGTTTGAAATTAAGGTGGTAGAGATACTCGCGAGGATCTCAGAATGTCCCAGCCTACTGTTTTACAGGGTTCCTGTGTAGACTTCTACCATGTTTCAACACAGGCTGTTTCAAGAAGATACCGTCGCTCCAAACCCAGAGGCCTCCTTACCGGAGTACAAGAAGCAGTTCGCGGGAACCTTCACCCCAAACCCTGAACCCAACACCCGTGTATGGGTAAAGACCTCCAAACAAGAACCCTAGACCCGGCAGTCATGTGCCCAAAGCCCCAACACCCGAAAACCCTAATCTTCCCCAAACATGTTTGTGACTGTTTGTCTCTCCAAGGCCCAGGAGTCCATCAATCTTCTGCCGCAGCTTCGTGAGCGGGACCAGCATGCCTTTGTCTTTGCTGCTTCTTCAGGTGTGTAGGCTTCAAGTCAAGGTTTACAGGATTTCAGGGTTTTGGGATATATTTTGGGTGTCGGCTTGATTTAGCTTCGGGGCCGTAAGGGCTGAAATTTAATGGCGTTGCCAGCATGAGGTCCCAGGCCTCCAAAGGCCCCCGATAGCACCGAACACTGGTCAGGCGAGCCTTTTCTGAGGGTGGGGATGCGCAGTTTGATCATTCACAACTCACAGCATATTCTGAGCCACCCCAGACACCATCGTTAAGTGAGTTTGTGTGATTTTGTGTTGTATAGTGTTGTGCGGAAACGAAATGTTTGGTTCCTGGTCGAAGCTAGAAGAGATTAAAGGGCTATTGATCTGACGAGGGATTGTTGTCTACATTGCAGGCGAGAGATGTATCCCGAGGGGGTCTGAAAAGGGACACTACAAAAGATAGACACAAATGTACCAGGTCCGATCCCACCATCGCATCGCCCATGTGCGGCGGCCTTTCCCGAAAGTGCACACATCCCCCCGTGGCACCGGAAGAGCTTGTTTATGCATTTATTATGAATAATTATGCATGCATGCATACATACATACATACATACTTACTTACCTGCATTCAGCATGTAGGTAGGTAGG